CAGTCGATTGCGTTCAACGAAATGGACAGAAGAATGTCTTCAAAGATGATTACAATTGTCTCACAGTTTGCGTACAATAAGTGAGAAATGGATTGCATTTTGAGTTAAAATTAATTGATTTTTGTGTTGAAGTCAACCATTGGCTGAGAAAACGGCAAACATTTGGCGAGAATTCAGTGAAATGTCCGCCAATTCTGTGTCCAAAGCCTATCGTGTCATCGATTATGGCTTAACTCGTGAGCAGATGTCTGGAGTGGATCTCAAGACATATGAATGCGATTCCCTTTGGAAGCCATTCATCACCTCTGGAACCGTTTACTGAATTGATTGATTGATTACAAGACATAAAATCTATTATATATTCTTTAAATAAAAACATTAAACATTAAAATACTTTCACAGAATTGTGACAATTCTTACACAAAACAGAGTGCACTTCAGAATCACATTATATATGAGTTTAACTTCACTACAAATACAGTGTTACTGAATCTGTCGTGAAATTAATGAAATAGAAATTAAAATACTTTTATATTGTTTTGATTTTGAAAGTAATTTACGCATAAAAATAGGCACTATTTGAATACTATTATAATTCATTATACTTATGGCAAGTTTTGTAATTATGTTTAACTAATTTATATTTGACGGATAAGTCTCACGTGTTATCAAATGTTTATTAATAAATTAAAACAACAAAATAATTACTAATTATCGCATAAATAGTTGACAAAACATTTTGATTACACGACTGCGAGCTCGCATTGCGTAACAAAAAACTTATTCAAAAAAAAAGTTTTTAAAACAAATTCATAAATAAATTAAAAATCAAATAAAACAAAAAAAGTCCTAAAACTAGTTAACATGTAATCAAATAGCCTGGATCATACACAACTACACGTGCGCGATAGTATCCAGGTGATTGTGTCATACAAAAAATAGTATCTAGGTAATCATTAAATTATGAAAAATTAGTTTTTTGAAGGCCTTTCCCATAGCGATAGCGATAGTCAATGAATCGATGCCAATGTGTTTGTGTCGGAGTGTGTGATGTCATCGAAACTGCGAGCCTCTCATTGGCTGACAGGTGTGTCACGTGGTGTTTATTAACTGGTATTAAACCATGACTTGAACGGCATCACCACTTTGATCCGATTATCACCCATTTGTGTGCCCACAACACGGCTTAAGAAGTTATTATACGTAAGTATTGTACCAGTAATTGTGATAACATATATTAAGTGTGCTTGTTCACTGTTATTGTACTTTATTGCTAAGTTAGTAGCAGTTATGTTGTAAACAATGCGTTAATTACGGCAAACATGTAATGAATACTAGATTTATACACACAATGATTGTCTCATAATTGCCATCCGATTACCACTCAATTGACACAAACTATTAAATGGTTTCCTTTGACCACAGATGCGATTGGCGTGCAATTGACGGCCAAAACATGAAGACAAACATAACAGTGAAGGACTTGCGGCCCAATCGGCCCTCAAATGCCAAACAAATCCATCGATTGGCGAGAATTAGCGACAAATGCGCCGACTTTTACAAGTACTTCCTCGAGAAGATTGGACACAAGAACTTTATCGTATGCTTCAATGACGCCAATAAGACACCCATCGATCCCGCCAACTATCACCAGATCCACGACAACCAGGAGCTGCACATCTATGAATTCAAGTATGCTATCAATTATCTCATACATACTGTGTGTTCACTATTTCATGTGACCATTGATTGTCTGCCACCACCACCAGCCATGAGACGGCTGCCATCAACTACCAGGTGAACATACAGCCCCATTACCACACCATCACTCAGTCGGGAATGTACGAGTACTACACCTCCCGGGGCATCGACTCTGTGGTCATATCCATCGCCGAACTCATCGACAACTCGTTGGCCGCCATTCGCGACAACCGCGGCCTCAGACTCATTGAGATCCGGCACTACGACATCGGCGGCAACGACTCGATGCTCGCCATCATCGACAACGGGTGCGGTATGTCTGTCACGGATCTGACCAATTGGGCCAAATTCAAGTGCTCGAAGTTTGTGCGCCAAACGGGCGCCGATAGCCTATTGAATGCCACACAACAGTCGCTGGATGTGTCACTGGACTCTGGGTTCGTGTCGTTCCGATCGGATGACCTGCCGTTAAGTCAATACGAGAGCCCATACAAAGCGAGGACTACAGAACCCCTGAACCGGAAGCCCCGGTTCCTGGACAGCGACATCAACTACTTTGGCGCGGGTGGCAAACAAGCCATCTTCCACATCGGGAAGACCACGACTATGATCACCAAAATGGCCACTAATGACAACGTCTCGGAGCTGAACCTATCGGAGAAGCGCTTCGACGAGAAGTCTCAACAGAATCCAGACGACGTCTTCAAAGAGAGACTCCATCAGAGGCCGAAAGGTGCGGAAAGGCAGTTGAGCGCCGATCCCAAGACATCGGAACTGATTGAAGACATGATTGTCTCAGAGATCGAGAAGCAGTACAAGAGTTTCACCATTTGTTGCATTCGCGATGTGTTTACCCATCACAACAAACAGTTCAATGGAAGCAATAATAACATGAACTTCTGGACCAAGAGTTTGGCCCGAATTTATCACTACTACCTGCACGGCCCGGACGGCAACACCGGCGCCGGTAAGGGGTCGCTGCCCAGCGACTGGAAAAGCATTCACATCATGATTAAGACATACAAAGTGGAGCCGACGGCCACAGGGGTTAAGGCCATACATAAGCAGACCATTAACCTGAAGGACATCCACGACGACTACGAGTCCCTATTGGTTCGTACGGCGAAAGACACGTTTGCCTTCGAGATCGAGCACTACTCGAAGAAGGACGCCGTCATCGAAGGCGTCATTCGCTACCATCCCTACGAGCACGACAGGGAGACCCTACCGGTGCTGAGCCTCGACGACGAGTTGGGTGAGACGGCCTCCCGGACGGCCACCTCTGTGGTGGACCTCTGCGACGACGACATCGACGGCTACGGAAAACGACCGTCCCGTGGGAAGTACCGCGAGGTGTTCGAGTGCTTCTGGCACGGGAGGCTCATCCCACAGGACTGCATAGACTTCGAGTGGAATAAGTACAACTCGAAGACAATGGAGAGAGACATCGAGGAATGCTTTGGCCGCCTGTCGGGCGCTTTGTTCACCGACTCGGCCTATCAGGTGTCGCAGAATAAGCAGAGTTTTATCGATTTGAGTAAATTGTTGGCACAGAAGGACTGCTTGACTCTATTCCATGTGGACAGGAGTGGGCGTAAAGTGCGCGGCGGTACCTTCGAGACACAGTTCATGTCGTGGCTAAAGGAGTGTCACACGAAGTACGACAAACAGGTCCAGTATTTCGAGTATCAAAGTGAGTGATCTTACCATTGGTTTTGACGCAAACTCT